AAATAATAATAAATTTTAAAAAAATTCAAGGGTTACGTTAAAATGTGAGGCCCCGTGGTAATTTTCCCTTCACTGGGCTAGTTTCGTATTTCAGTATATATCACACTATCAGCAAACAATGCCATGCCATTCTAGCGGAGGACGCGTTAAACATCAATTATACACGAATGACATCGAGACGGTTGTTGTACATAACGGTCACAGGTGGGGGGTTGGTGGCAATGGCGACACGATTCTCACGTGCATGGGCAGGTGCGGGGGGGGGGGGGGGGGCTTGATAAAGGACAGTGTCAAAAACGGCGTTATTGGTTGTAAAAATAAGATTAGTTTCATGATGACATGAGCTACCATTTGGATATTTCAAAGGCGAAGGAGATGGCTGGCCGTGTTTTGAGTGTGTGTGTTGGGGGAAGAGAGGGGGGGGGAAGGGGGGGGGTAATAAAGGTCCTGGTACAAAATATAGTCATAACCAAACGTAACCGCTAAGCCTGCTGCACGCTCCATTGATTTTAAGGCGGGGGAAAACAACAACAACCGATAGCACTGATCACAAACTTACACTGTCCCACACAATCATGTCACAAACATAAAGCATCCCACGCCATCATGTCACAAACATAAAGCATCCCATACTATCATGTCACAAACATAAAGCATCTAACACCATCTTGTCACAAACATAAAGCATCCCATACCATCATGTCACAAACATAAACCATCCCACACCATCATGTCACAAACATAAACCATCCCACACCATCATGTCACAAACATAAAGCATCCCATACCATCATGTCACAAACATAAAGCATCCCATACCATCATGTCACAAACATAAAGCATCCCATACCATCTTGTCACAAACATAAACCATCCCATACCATCATGTCACAAACATAAACCATCCCACACCATCATGTCACAAACATAAAGCATCCCATACCATCATGTCACAAACATAAAGCATCCCATGCCATCTTGTCACAAACATAAAGCATCCCACACCATCATGTCACAAACATAAAGCATCCCACGCCATCATGTCACAAACATAAAGCATCCCATGCCATCATGTCACAAACATAAACCATCCCACACCATCATGTCACAAACATAAAGCATCCCATGCCATCATGTCACAAACATTTTACGCTCAACATCTATAGGGTAAGATGCTACGTCTTGTATGATTTTACAACTTGACCGTACACACAACCGCACCAAATTAATAATCATCATAGCATTAGCATTTTTTCGCTCTGTGGTTAAATTCAATAACTTACTCTTTATTATAACTATAGTTAACATTTCTCTAGTCTGTTCAGAAAAATATACATAACTTATACTAATTTGAAATATTTATTTTTTTTGTTTATCTCCGCTAAGGGAGGTCACCAATATATTTTGCAATCCTTTACTTTAAATTCGGTTTTGTTCGTGTGTTTCTTTGTGGCAAAAATCTTGGGAAGGCTAATTGACCAACTTGCCGTCATCCTATCGAAATGAAACTTGGCACATAAACTCGTTGCAGATGACAACACATTCTTTCAAATATTCAGCCCCACCCCAGAAATCGGTTTTTCCTGTTTTTCAAAGAGGAAGATAAAGTAAATATGATCCTGTGATTTCTTACATCACTAAGTTGCACAACAGCGTAGAAAACAGTTTGGTGGAAATCCACCAGTTAAACGGAAAAACAATAAAATGTATTATTGCAGGGGAAAATGAAGGAAAAACTAAATGTGTTTTTGCCAAAAAATCAGTTGCTACAATCACACATATGATAAATCACGTACAGTTATATAAATGCAAACAAAAATTAATATATATATACAAATAAACTTTTTTGTTAAAAAAAATATTTAAGGTTTGCAGGTGGAAGAAAACACATTGCTTTCAACCACTTTTCTTTCGTTTCTCCAAGCCAAGGGAAATAACCAAGGTTTAATTTTTTTATTTAAAGAAATGGAAATTAATTTTTTTTTTTAAATCCTTTAAAAATATTGGCAACACTGATTTTTTTTTTTTTTTAATTAAAATATTCAGACGATTACCTGCTTTGTGAAATGTCTCACTAAATAAACTTATGACATTTTGTCGACTGAAACCTCTCAATTCAAAGTCGGCTTACAATTCTTACTGAACCTTACAGTCTTACAGTACAGTGGATAAAATGTTTAATCTTATAATATGGTTGTCTTAATGAAGTTATTCATAGCATGATCAAGCATCACCCAGGGATTGGGGTAAACGCTTGGTTTTATTAACATCATCACCTGAATAGGGCCATGATCATCTTTTTTTTAATTTAAAACTAGTTCTTTAAATTTAATGAGGCGGTTTTCTTCCTTCACACTACATTGGTTAACAATCCCGTGGAATTCTGCAACAAGCAATTAACACAGTAACAACAACAACAAAAACTCCATCAAAATATTAGGTATGTAATTCGTTATTCAAAGAACCAGGGATCATAAATGATATAATAAACATGATTTTTTTAAAAATTATTTCCAGGGATCATAAATTGATATAATAAACATGATAAAATTTGATAATTCCACAATAATCCCAGAAAATGTAGAAAAACAAACAATAATTTTGTGTTGTATTTTCTCTTTACAACTAAAATAAACAAAAACATTTATATATAGATCAAATGGAGTGGTCAAAACTGGGATAGTGTAATGTCTTCTCAACTGTGAAGCCATAGCACTTTCCTTTACAAACTTTTGATGGTGCGATGATTGGAGTGAACACATTGTCTCATCATTGTTACAAATTTATAGGACAAAAATAGTCACACAAAAATCAAGATCAATGAAATAAATATACTAATGTAAATGATATAGTATAAGTGTAAGCTATAGCAAAATAAAAATGCTTATTTTGTTGTTTTCAAACAAATTATGATGTTAAAGCCAAACGCTGTATTTAACACAAGAAAATTTTTTAAAAAAGGATTCTACTATTCTTCATTTGTAAGCGATATAATTAAAATAAGAAAGCACCAATAAAAGTGATCAAAATTGATGGAATATCATGAAGGACAGTGATAAAAAATTAACAGTACAAAATAAAAAAACTTATTTTTTTTATAAATTTGATGAAATGAACATAACATTTCAGTTTGGTCCAAGTCTAAGGACTTCAAGTATTCAATTCTGCCTAACAACTACAATTTGGTTTCTTATGCATTTAGCAAACTGGCATTATATGGTTTCGTTTCATATCATTCACCATATTGTCTCCTCATAGAGCTTCCAGCACTTAGTACAAGAGTCTTTTGTACTTTTTCATAAGTTTCAAGGAATTAATTAAGTGGTATTGACTCCCATAGTCTGAACAATTTTAAGTATTTACCAATAGCAAATAATCTGTAAAAATTTGATGAATTGAACAAGTTATGGCATATTAATTATATTAAGATGATAAATACAAATGGTTGGTACTTAAAAATCTTTGTGTCTACATGATCCCTAAAGGATTATCCCATGCGATAATAGTTGAGAAAACATGTAGCAGCAATTTAGATCAGTTTTCTAATTTTAGGTATTTTTTTACTAACCTGAATCGTAGCTAGTAACAGGGTGTTAAGAATCAAAGAAAAGCTGGTTAGGGTTATCTTGAGGTAACCAAGACTTGTTAGGACATTTCTAGAAAACAAGCTTCTCACAACAGAAACGTATGAATAGCTCATAAATACTCATGTATTCTAATCATTATAATAGATATAGGAACCCAGCACTGCATGTCCTTAATTGCTATCACTAAATAAACAGGACAGCATTTGGGCCGGGACGGAAAAATGGATAGAGACAATAGTGTAGAGGGCAGTTACATTTATCTACGAAATAGCTGCGCTACCAAGTGACCAAAATATAAAGTCGGAGACCAAACCCAGGCAAACTTTTTATTTATTCCAATCCTTACTTAACAGGACTTTGAATAAAATGCTCTAGAGAAATTTTTTTATCTGCGAGATGAGATGAGGTGAGCAGCTGGTAAAATTAGAAGTGACCAAACCTAGAATCAGGAAATGGTTGGTACCATTACAAACAGCCAGTATATGGCCCAACAGCAAATAAATTGATTTGGCCACCTGGTCGAAATGTCTGCCTACCAACCTGCATTGCAAACTTACAAAAGCAGGCATTCCAGTTGCAAGACCACATCGTCGGTGGATCGACTGAGTTGAGGATACTTTAAAAGTCTACAACATGAACCTCCAGCAGGCCACACAGTGTGTGGCAAATGGCCAACTGTACCTCTTGTAATGCCTCCCCAGTTAAAGTGGACAGAAGAAGAAATAGATTAAACTGGAAGTTGTCTCTATGCTTTCAACTAAAAAACAACACTTTTCAATACAAGATAAAAAGTAGATTTGATATATTAGTTAGGAAATGTTTATTTTTAAACTCAAGGTATCTATGAATTTGACAACCCCCTGGTTGAGTGGGGTGGTTGTCCAACATGGTAGCAGTGTCACTATTATAAATGCACATACTTACAGACCAATGTATATTAAATGAAGTCATTTAAAAGGAAAGGACTTCAAAGAAATAAAAATTAAAGATAGTAATTTTCAACAAATATTTGTATTGTATGAATACAAAAATTATTTTAAAATGTGAGGAAACGATTACTAAAATTTTTGAAAATCTCTTATAGGGGATCACTTAAGTAACAATCAATGATTCCCAGTATAATCAATCTCTACATAATAACATGGATATTTTTTTCAAAAAATTAAATGACCCAAATAGCTTACAGGTTAATCAGGCTCCCAACATAAGATATTGGCTATCTCTAAGTTAGTTGGGGATCGATCAGCTACAAACTTTGTTGATTCTTCTAAGTGTACCAAAAGAAAAAAAAAAAAAAAAAAAAAAAAAAAATTTTATATTTTTTTTTTTATAAAAAAAAAAAAAAAAAATCAGCTACAAACTTTGTTGATTTTTCTAAGGGTACCAAAAAAAAAAAAAAAAAAAAAAAAAAAAGAGGTGGCCGATGTCTTTTCTGGTCAGTGAAGTCACTAAAAGTTTTTCAAAGGATTCTGAGTCAACTTCAAAAATTAAATAACATTTTTAAAAATACATTATTCTACGCATTCTGAAGGAATATATTGAAAACCTATTTTTTTAAATATTTATTCTGGAAATAACAAACAAAAATGTTTGCCAGTGCCTAGAAACCAGAATTTCTTTTAAGACATGCAAAATGATAAAGAATTATTAACGATATGTGAAAATGAGGATGTGTATATATTCATTTATAATATTGGATAATTGTTTATATCGAGATGTATATCTAGACTTAATTCATCTGTAGTATTATCATTTTAACTAAACTTCCACATCCACAAACAACTATTCATATAAGGCCAAAAAGAAATCATTAAAATTATACCGCAAATCAAAAAGTATATAAATTCCTTTTGTTCAATTTATTTTTTATTTATCTTCAATCAATCATAATGGGATCTCGATTTGGTTTTATATGGGCACTTTTCTTGTGTATGTTACATAAAAATCTGTCCATATATTCAGCCTTTGTCCTTAAAACCAAAAAAAAAGTCGTCTTATAAAAACAGATAAGTTCATATTGCTCTCAAGAGTCATTGAGTTCTTCCAATGGTTTACATAAAAGTAATTTTACTCAAAAAAAAAAGGGTTAACATTACTCTCAGCATTTTTTCGTTCATTGCTGATAATCAGAGATCTTTCCAGTTTATATTACTTTGTGAATATAAATCTGTACCCACATATATCCACACCATGATATAATATTGGAATAATAGTAACAATGATAATGTATATATTATCAGCCAGATACATTTTCAGCACTTAGCAAGAAACTAGAGATGTGATCACTTAAATTTTTCAGATGTCATCACTCAAGTTATTCATCTGCTTATGTCAGGGACAAATCTTAATGTTCTGTGTCTTAATTCAAAGATTAAGAACAAAATCATAGCACTATGAGAAACTGACAGTAAAACATTAACACAAGAACTAACTTTGATTCTCCCTCACAAGAAAAATCAATTGACATGCACAATAAGATGAAAACAGAAGAAAAAATCACTATCACGCTGATTCCAAGACATCAATAACCTTCGTGATACCGTTAACATCAGTGCTGCCAAAAGCAGTCTGAAAATAGATTAAAATTTAAATCCATTAAATAACTAACAAAACTACTAGATCATCAATTCAATAATTATGTTATATAGTTGTCCACAGTAACTTGATTACAAGCTGCATTGAGCATCATAAAGCTGTTTAAACTAAAAATTATATTTTTTTCAACATTAACCCCCTTGTAACCTGAAGATGAACTCTTATTACCCCTGGAGGATTGAATTCGATCCAGGTATTTATTATAAGATTTTTGAATTAGGTATATTAAAAAAATATTTTTCAGTATTGATATTAGGAGTGTGGTAAAAAGATTTAAAATGTCTCTAGCATTCACTTTTAGTTGTTTTTTTTTTTGGTTGGTTACAAAATAAAGTGCAGTGAGTCTAGTTCATAAAATCTAAATAGTCCAATACCTGCATTTTTTTAAAGTAGATATTAAAAATACAAAAATATAGGCTAAACTTACAGTAAGACTCATGAAATTGAGGAATTTCTTTAACATCTTTATCATAGGACCAAAGTCTTCATTTGGAATGAGTTTTTTCACAGTAGCAGCATACTCCTACAACAAAGATAGAAGTTTCAATGACACAATGCATGGATTAAAAGCTCTTAAATACATATGTTCAAATGATCGCAGAAGTTGAAAACAAAATAGATTACATATACTACAAAGAACTAAGTACAGAAGGAGCCTGCCATACACTGATCTTTAAAGCAAAAAAAAATCTCTTAATTGATACTGACTTGGTAAATTTTCTGTCAACATATATCATGAGTCTGTAATTTGAAATCTTCATGGCTACTTATCTCCTAGTTTATTTAAATTACCTCCCTTTTAAAATTATCTTCCTCCTGCTGTTTTCTTGGAATTAAATTTAAAGCAACGTTTTTATTTTTATATTTTTACTTCCTTTGCTTCTCTTTTTTTGTACTGATTTCTGACCAAGTCTTCTTGCAGACATGTTTGTTCTTTCTTTGCCTATTTTTTCAGTTTTCCCCTACCTTGCATAATTTATTTCCTTTCACCCAACCTGATCCCAGTCTCCCCCCACTTATTATCCCTCCCATTCAAAAATGATCAAACATGGCAAGCTTAAGATTACTTACAATATAAAATAGTTCATCACCTGAACCAGCAAAGGTTTTAAATATTCCTACAATCCAGGAATAGCAAAAATGCTTAATTATATGTTTTTGTTTAGCCTACAGTGATTCTCCAAGCATCTTCTAAACCAAGAATAAATCATAAATTACAGTTTACTTCTCAAATATTATTCTTAAAAGCAGCATCATCTAAAAGCTGCTTGATAATAAATAATTCAAAAATGGGCTTTAATAAGAGAAAATTGTAGGATATTTACCTTATCATCAATTATGGTAGTACCCAGTAAAAGTCCAGCATAAGAAGCCACAATGCTGTTCTCCATATGCTTGCCAGCTTTATGTAGTGCTAAATTTTAAAGTAAAAAATAAGAGAAATTCATTTTTTTTTCAAATTAATCTTAAGAGACTTGCATTTTTGTTATTTTTATTTTAGATATTTTAAGCAACTTAAAAATAGGACATTAAGATTTAACTACCAATAAGTTCGATGTATCATCTGCTTTGTGAAGAACCGGAATAAAGGAACAGAAGACAAACATATTTTGTACCTTTAGTGAATGTCTCCTCATCATCTTCCAGTATACTCTGGTTAGCTTCATCACCCTCTTTAGCTGCTACTGTCGACTTCTTCATTTTCTCCTCCTCTTCCTTTGCTTTCTTCAGACTGTTGGTTATCCACTCTATTCCAGAATCTGACTCCTTCCATTCACCACTTTTGTTGGGAGATTCTGAACTTGATGTATCAGTTGAGGTCTCATTGTCTTCTTCCATTTCACGTGCAGCCTGCTCTCTTTGAACAAACAACTTGAAAAGAGAAAATTATTGGAAGTACTTTTAATATATAAACATTGTTAGTTAAATATTTATAACTGATACAAGTGACTCGGCGAATGTCGTACAAGTTTTTACAAGTAACAATCTGAATTTTTTACCTCCACTACTGCCTTGATGGCACTCATTGTTTTGGCCTGAGCTCTCTCTGTGTACTTGACCTGAGTTTCCATTTCCATCATTATCTTACGGTTTGTGTGACGGTTCTCAACAAGATTTATTAGCAGACCGAGACACTACAGAAAAAAAATGTTAAAATCAGTATGCTCTTTTTACAGCTCTTTTGTGTAATTTGTAACTATTGGAACACATTTGCTAAAGCTATAAAAGAATTAACTATCAAACTTAAACTGATTAATTTGAAAATAATGTCATGATTATGTCTCTTTTGATAATATTTTTATGTACAGCATGGTGAGCCCAGCCCTAGGCTGGGGTACCGCGCTTTAAAGACCACTAATTATTATTATTATTATTAATTGCTTTTATTGGATGTTAAAGGAATTATTACACAAAGCTAAAATTCTTGGTCTAGATTAATGTTTCCCCAATTCTTAAAATAAGTTATGCTTTTATGGTCCAGCATTTAGGATACAGGCTTAGATATCCTTAAAGCACAAATTGCTGGATAAAATACGTACCAATACTGCCATATCAAACCTTTGCTCTACAGGAATACACCACTGTGTTGTTGTCAAACATTTCAATATCGTTTCTATCAGAGACGTTTCTGCAGCAGAATCAAGATCACCAAGTTCTGGAAAAATAAATCAGTACAACATGTTTCTTTCTTTTTTTTTCCAGAGACATCAAACATCTTTCTACATTTTCTTAACCCATGAACTGTGGCATGCATCATTCCGTGGTGTGGAGCTTTTCAGAGCGTTTTGAGAGCCATTTGAAATTGCATTAAATGACATAGAAATATTGATACAAGACCTCCAATAAGTATATATTTTTAGAAAGTTAAATGGATGGGGATAAAGATGACCATATTGCCCACCCCGTTAAAAAATTTTGCTCAAAACGAGAAAGTCTGCCATTTTTTCGGCCGACCACAGTTCATGGGTTAAGTATGGTCCAGATATATTTCCTTTCCATTAAGTAGAATAAATGCTGAAACCAGGATTTTATTATTATACTTACTGTGTTCATGTGTTACATTAAGCAAAACTCTAAGCACAGCAAGCATACAGGTTAAGACTGTGTAGCCAGGTGTGTCTCTTAAAGTCTTGTCCTCATCTGGGCTTTCATGCATTGCATATGTAGGCATACATTGCTGACAGAGGCGTAGGGTCCTAAAAAAAACGTGATATCACTCTGCTAGAAATTAAATCTTACTAAATTATTTATCAAGGAGCTAATAGAGTTTTCGTTTTAAATAAGAAACTTCAAAAGCTTTTTTTATTAGGCAATCTTGAGAAAAGTGGGGGAATTTTTAAAACTGAAACAACCTTCCTTTCCTAATTTAGTTTAATCACTAGAAGTAGAAGAATTTGACACAATATATTGCATAATGTAATTAAACATGTTGTCCTCTTAGTGAACAAAGCAGTTTTTTTTTAAAGATTAGATTAGGCTACAAGTGTAGCCAAACAATAAATCTCAATCTACTCCCCACTGAAATGTTTACAAATAAATCATAGGACATTCTTTGTGCTATTTGTCACATAAAACTGGCCCAATTAAGCAGAATTCTTTAATGTGAAAATATCTTGCCATCCAGACTTTTATTATTGTCTATATTACATAGCATTACATACCTGGTGCATGACTGGAGCAAAGAGGCATTTTTATATGATATCAGATAGAATTGATTATCAGCATTCATGGAACTTATCTGAAAGTAAAGAATATATTTTTCTCAATTTTATTTGAAAGCTAAACTTTTGCGATTAAGAAAATTAACAGAAAAAAAGTCTGATATGTCAGGAAATATATTTAGGAAATTACATCTACTAAAACTTTTTTGCTTGATAAATGTATGCCATTTTCCAAAATACAGATATTTTAGATAGTTTGTTATTTTTATCATCAATGTAGATATATTGAAAATCTGTAACTCATCAATTTTGCTTTTTCACTTCAACATAGTTTTTGACAAAGTTTCAACAAGAGTTCATTAAGAGGAACAAATTTCTAAATAACACAGAAGCTTTGGAATCTATTGCACATGCACTATTAATAATTAATTCCCTCTATATATATTGATCCCTTTCTACATCAATACTTACATTCTCCAAAACTCTTAAACATCTGTCAAGCTTCCTCAAAACAGGAAGAGCATTCTGAATATCTTGTGTTAAATCTTCAGGTAGATTTCTTTCACAGGCTGTCACTAAGCATAAGATGAAAGATACAAGTTAAAAAGACATGTAGCAACAATAAAAAAAAATCTCTTTAAGTCATATTCTAACTTGAAATGTGAAATCAATAAAGGATTTTAAAAAAAATAATTTTAATAATTGGGATTAAACAAAATGAACTAACCAGAATCCACAATGTGATCCAAGCCACCCATTATTCGTAGCTCTTCTTTAAACCACTCCCCAGCCCGTCTTGAGGTCAAGCTTAGTAAAGATTCCATAGCCAGGTTACCAGTCTATAATTTATACATATTTATGTAAAATTAACATAGAAAAAGAGATAACTTTCAGAAATAAGAAATGACACAAGACTAATCAAGAAATATATATGAACAACACAAGCTCCATGTTAAAAGGAGACTGCAAATTTTAACAGAACTTTAAACTCAGCAGAAGATCTGATCTACTATATAAGATCCCTCTAAGAGAAATACTTTTAAACAACCATAAAAATAAAATATAACTTATACAGTAGAAGATTATATATCACCTGTCTTTTAAAAAACAATATGCACAATGCCTGCCCCCAACCCCACTTTCAGTATCCAGGTACAACCTAGATACAAACTTTACATACAGAGACCCAGAGTGGGATAATTTGATCTACAAACTTGTTCATTAAAAAAAATTCAGATAAAGTAATATAATTTACCTGGTACCTTAAGGTAATAAAACCCTTTCCAATGGGAGAGAACTTAAATTCTGTTTTATAATCTCACCTTTTCACAAGTATAGATTTTATTGGCTTCAATTACTACTGAGAGGTTATATATTAATTGAACATTCAGAGTCAAAATTTTAGAAATTGGCTAAGAATATGAGGCATAAAATTCAGTGTTTTTAAAATACACATTTGACAAAATAATTTATAGAATTAATTAAAATTTGACAGCTCTTTTATTATTTCCATAAATTATTTTTTTAAAATTTTTTCCAATTATTGACTATGACTTCATTATGTATTCTAATTGCATCTAACATTGCAATCTCACAAACAGCTAAATAAAAAAAAAAGGAGAGACATTAAATTTACCGAAACAAATCCTAAATCAATTTCTCTGGCATGTGTTTCTTGTTGCAGCTGAGCCAGTAACTCTTGAACTCTTTGTTTAGTTTTTTCTAAATCTCGTAAACTTGCAGCAGTTGCCTTTTCAGCATCAGCAGTGTCAACCTCATTCAGTTTCAACATGAGGTTAAGACTGTGTTGGTCCAAATCCATATTCAGACGATCACGGCTGAGCATGAACATCATGGCTGATGTGCTCAGAGCTAAACACTATAATTTTTTAATTAAAAAAATAAGTAAATAAGAAAGAATATCACATACATAAACAGGAAAATTAAGTCACAATTTCAATTTTCTCAAGAAATAACTAATTTAATACATTTAAAATATCTTTCATTTTAAACTAATCTGGTATCCTTTAAAGTCAATGCCTACTTACAGGATCTGTACATGCATCATGAAGCAAACTGAATATTTTTGCAACTGTACCATGAGCTCGCATATGCATTCGAAAAGCAGGTGAGATACACTTTCCAGCAAGCTTTAAACAACTACAAATAAAGTATTTTAAAAAGTTGTAGTTACCAATCAATTAGGACAGGACAAATTATTTGCAATTTACATGAAAAAATATGAATAGTAAAAATTTACTTTGATCCCATCTTTGCCTATTAAACATTCTCAATGGTGCAGAATTTAAGGCACCTACACTTTTCATATTTGCCAAGAATGTCATATTTAATAGCACAATACTATCCTGTACACCATAGGAAAAGGAAAATTCTTTGGTATATTTGGACACAGAATTTTCAGAACTGAAAATATTACATATAAATTTAAAAGTAACCAAAAACAATTACTGGCAGAAAATGCAGTAATTGGCTAAATACTTTTCATAAAATTTGTTGAAAGGGAGAAAAAAATTTTTAGACAAAAAAATTGGTGGTAAAATTCATGCTATTGTGGAACATAAATACAAATTTCATGTAATTCAGAGACATAACCTCAATTGAAATGGTATCACACTTTGAAATGAAAAAAAAATGTGTAGTGACAAGGGAGTTAACAGCATTTGTTAAGTGGTTGTCCATCAACTTTGTAAACAAAAAGCTCTAAAGATGATTCAATGACTCACCTAAGGCAACGAATGGATTTAGACTTGGTGTCCTGTAAACTATCCAATAGGTAGTCAACTTCATCCATGAAGTCCTGAGTTTCTCCAAGTTCCTGTACTTCATGGGTCTGCTTAACATTGTGTACCACAGTGTAAAGCTGAAGTAAAAAATGTAAGCCAAAGCCATTTATAAATAAAAAACGAAAATTATTACCAGTGAGACCATTTACTTGTTATAACAAAAATAGGGTGGGCAGATTTCATTATCACGGGTTTGGTAAGTGTTCCTGTATATTTTCTGCTGGCAATATACAAACACAATCCCAAAACCTTTATTTTATGTACATGCATTGTTATCAGCTGACAGGCTAGTAGTATAGCAGCCGGTAGATTATAAATTGGTCATAAAAGAAAAAAATGAGTTTAATATCAGTTGACTTGTTTAAAAATGTTAATTATTAGTAATATTGGATAGAATCCATATTAATAAATTTCAGTTCGAAAAATAAAATTTGTGAAATAAATTTCAAGTTTGAATTTATTGGAGTGGGCAAGACAAGAAATGATTTAAGAGGAACAATGTCTTCTTACTATTAAAAAAAAGGTATTAATTTTTAAGTTTTTTTGTTTTTGTAAGTTTTAATTTTCCTCTGCATTGCATGAGTGATCATTGGTAAAATCAAAGCTAAAGGGAAAAAAGGTGAATTCATTCACATAAAGAGCCACATACAGCAACAGGCTGCTGATCACTGTGCTAGCACATATTGATCAATATAAACTTAAGTTCTGCTTGTTTAGAGTAAACAACTACGAGATATATCCCTGTCAAACTGGAGATCGTAAACATCAACAAATCTGCAGTGTGAACCTACCTAAATGAAAAGGTTTAAAAATCAATTGCAATATGAATACAAAATTAGCTTAACAGTTTAAATAAATAAACAGTCAATACCTCTTTATGAGTTTTGCTCACTCTTAGCGATGTGTAAGCCTCATCATACTGTCTTTCAGGCCAGTGTACTTCACGTTTCAATTGAGGCCCTTTGCTTGAATCTTTTATAATAACAATATCTTCATCCTTTTCATTTTTTTTAATGGTGCCTTTTTGGGATAATTCCTGAAGGCAAAAATATTTTCAAAATATAAATGTTTCACAATTTCATAAAATATTTTTTTTTTTTTAAATACAAAAAAATATTGTAAGCTTTCTATTAAAAATATTAAAAAGTAGTCTTATGACTGAAACATTAACTCATAATATATCTAAATCAATATTTAAATTTAAGATTTAATAAAAAATATTTTCTGAATATATAGGAAGTAAATAAACATTTACACACCTCTTTTATATCATCTGCATCATGTTCAGTATACCAGGACCGTGCATTGTATGTGGCCTTTGCCGGTGACTGTAATAAAAAAAATATTAAGAATTTTTTTACACTGACATATCAATTACTGTTCTAAATAATAGTTGCGCTACCCATTTTACTTCAACTCATGTAGTTCATATGATGTATCTAAATTGTCATGTGTGTTTTAATTGCATGCTAAATTCAATGAGAAATTCAGTTAAGAAACTCATATGCTTACCCCTTTTTGTGGACTACCTCCAAATATTTTCCTCTGAAGTTCTGATGAGCCCGACAATGATTTCTTTGATTTAAAAAACTTCCTAGGGGCACTTGAAACTTCCTTCTGGCTGACTTCTTCGTGAGTGTTCTGGTTATTGAAAGGTGACTCCTGAGACTGAAGATTCTCTGAGCACTCTGACATATTGTCTGGCTCTCCTGTGGAGTCTGAATCATTGCCCTTTTCCATATTTCTCAGACGAGCAGCTAGTAATTCCCTTGCTGCAGATGGGTCATTCTGTTTAACAATGGAAGGATCACTATCTGTTTCAACAGTGCTAGGTGGTTCTGCAGATCCAGTGTTATTTGAAGATTGCTGGGTTAATGACGAAGACTCTTCCATTGCTACATCTATCTCAACATATACTATTTTGTCATCTTGACTAATAAGTGATTGTGCTCCAACAGACGTGTCTACTGCCTGTTCACTGCATGGCAAAGGTGATTCTTCATCCTCCATTAATTCATCTCCATAAATTGGTGGCTTAAGTTCTTCTTCCACCTGAGGAGCACGAGATTTAAATATTCTATAACGTTTGCCACGACCTAGTGAACCATCGCCCTGAGAGCTGCTGTCAGTTGATCCTGGAGTTGGCACAAGTGGAGAAGACTCCAAATTTGAGCCTCTGCCCTGAGCAACACGTCGGACAGGTGACACTGTGGAAGGGGATGATTGATTGCTGGCATTGCTGCCTTGTGAGGGTAATCCTTCAGAATTAGCTGCCACATAAGAAACATTTTTATGACGACTACTGATGTGAGTTGGGACACTTTCAACTTTCACGGGGGTGGATGTGGTAGAATCAGTATTACCATTTTCCCCAACCGTATCTTGAGATGATGCATCAGATGACACTTGAACTAAACCACCTTTAGATTTTACAGGTTTTGCAAAATACTTTGTATGAACATCAGTTTTTTCAACTAGTCCCTTTGGCTTACAAACAACAACAACAGTGGTGCCCTGGTCTTCATTGGCCATTTCTTCTTTAGACACCACCATACTGTTGTTTAGACCGCCTGTTGCTGTATCCGGTTTACTTTTGAGCTGTTGAGCTGCGTAATTTCTTTTGTATTCTTCAATTAAATCAGGGTCAGACACAGTCAGGGGCTTGCGGCCTCTCGGTCCACCCTTTTTCTTATAGCCTGATTTCCTTGGTGGAGGTGAATCTGGTTTGTCAACTGGTGTAACAACTTCTCCTGAGTAAGTCTTAAGGGGTTCTCTTTTAAACTGAACAGGGAAAATCTCATCATCTTCTGCAGAGTCTTCTTTAGCCTCTGTAAAAGAGTCTTGAGATGAACTCAATTTACTATCATGGTAGTTCAATGACTCACTTGATAAACTCACTTTGCCAACTTCTATAAACTGCTCCATAATGATAGGCTTTTTAGTGGTGGCTCTAGTGTAAGTGCGGAATGCAGGAGATTTAGAAACTTCGTTTATCTTTTCTGGAAAGTATTCTTCAGATCCTTCCCCCTTAACAAGAATTCTAGAAGCTGGAAGTTTAGTAGACTGTCTGGGTTCTGGCTGCTGTGGTGCCGCTTGTTTTTTGACAGGGCTTAGCTTTCTTTTATCTTCAGTATCAAAGCTAAAAGGATCCTCAGGTTTACACTCCATCTTAATTCTCTTGACATCAGACGCACCATCTGCACTTTCCCTAAAAGGAACATAATTGGCTTTCCCCCACTTTGACATAGAAACAGCAGCTTTCAAAGGCACTGTTTTACCATCTGATGTCTCATCTATTGCTCTGCTAGGTTTAGAGCGACTGTAAGTGCGGCCTGCAAAACGAGGGGGTGGGGTATCATCTTCACTCATGGTATATCTGAGAAAATATATTGTGAAAATCATGAGTTGTTAACACTCTACTTTTTAAATCACTTTAAATAAATGTGCCCACTCCCAAATTTAAATGCATTAATTTACATTTATTTTAAAATAATCTGCTAATAATTTTTATTTCATTTTTCTCTTAAAATGATGCCTAAAACAATTTTCTTGTCAAGGTATTTTATTTAGTCTTCTTTTAATACCTTAAATGCTTCTAAATTATTGTAGGCTAATGTAGTCCTTCTTTAACTTCTTAACTATCGCTATTTGGCTGGTATTGTGTAAGCAGTCTGGTAGTGCAGAGGATGCTTTCCACAGTAACTAGATCATGGAGGTTCCCCAGGTCAACTTCTGACTATAGTCCCGTATTCAAAAGATTTTCATATTTGGCTATGAATTTTTTTAAACAATTTTTTTTTCGTCTTGCCCAGAAAATTATGTTGAAATGAACAATGAAAAGGTACTTCTTTTTCAACCAATCAAAATGAATTACTTCTAGCAATGCCAACGTCTTTTTCTCTTTGGCTTAGGGGTCATCCGTAAATGATGTCACATTTTGAAGAGGGGGAGTTAAGCCATGGGCGCCCACAGAAAACTTCCTAGGGGGGTGGGGGTGTGGGGGGAACATTTTTTTGTAATGTTTTAATGTAGTTTTAATTTACTGTAGCGTATTTGTATGGTGAATGAACGGACAGGACATCAGCTTAGTTACTTTCTCTTTATTTTCTCTTTACTTTATTAAACTTTAATAAATTTTTTGTCTAAAAAAATTTTTATCCAATCAATCCAGGGGGGGGGGGGGGCAGTGCCGCCCCCCCCCCCTCCGGGCGCCCAGGGGTAAGCTATGTGATGTCACATTAAAAGCGTCATTTATGGATGGCCCCCTCTTAGGAATATGCTAATATGGGTTTCTTCTTTATTTGTTTAACGAAGTGTCTACACGTCCGGCGCGCCGGACAAATAGTGCGCAAGATATACGTCCGCGGTATGTCACGTGACCGACGGACGGCTAGTAGTTTTTATAATTCCGAATGAAGTACAGTTTCGTAGATCTTGTGTGGTTTAGTGGTAGAGTGGTCGCTTGACGATATTATGATTTGAGGATCAATACCGGGGATAAGATTTGTTTTTTTTTCTCCCATTTTAATGTAAAATATTTTATACTATATTAATATTATCATGTTCATCAGCAACAGTAGTTTCATGAGAAGTTTTTAAATATTTTGTAACAATTTAAAATGAAATCTTTTACTTCTTTGGTTGCCAACTCCACACTGGCACTGAATTTATTTTATGGATTACAGGTGCACAAAAATGTTTACAAGCCACTTTCACTTAAGTTTTTTTCTATTATTTGCATTCAAGATACTCAGTACATTACTTGGTAGAGAAATAGATTTTAAAATTAATAATAGTTTTGAATTATTCGCAGTCACGTGACAAGGCTGACCGACAGAATATCTCTCGCCACTTTGTTACGGCGGTCATGTGACTTGGTCGCCGGACAAATAGTGCGGGAGATAGACATCCGGCGCGCCGGACGTGTAGACACTGCCTTTGTTTAAAACTTTGTAAGTTGAGTTTTAATAAGAACAGAAAATTTAATTTTAATATATTTCAAATAAACTTTATAAATCACCAGATTTTATTTATGAATATTATGATGCAAGTAATGCTCAGTGAAGAACAGGAAAGTTATAATCATAATATTAAATTATACACATCCTCCTGGCATCCCAACTGTTGGTCACCCCAAGTCATGTGTTAGTGTTGGAATTCCCATCTAAACCACTAACCCAATCTTTACCAAGCTATAGTATTTAACAATTGCAGGTGATAAATATTATTAAGTAAAATACCACTAAATTGTATCATTCATCAGTAGAGTAACTACTAGTAGAGTAGATTATTATTTATTATGCACCAGCTCTAGTTGTATATGATTCATGGCATGGCAATGGGGCTAGGATATAGTAAGACTCTATACAGAAAAACGGAAATTATAGTTAAAGTAATCATCAGTAACGTTGATTCTTCAGAAATAATATGTGTAGGGTTGGCCTTATCTGAGACTGTGGCATTTTAAACTTTCTGTCAGCCTATGCCTATTCGGAAGTAGTAGGGCCTGCCTGTTCATAATTCGTTTAAAAATATTTTTTAGTATTCAATTTTCGAATTAATTAAAGATAAATAATAAATGTGATGTTCACTAAAGATCACTTCTCAATCTGAAAATTACTAAACCTGAGGAAAGTGATGATCTTATTCAGCAACACGTAATTTGTTTATTCATAGCATTAAAAATATTCATTAGACTTGATGTCTATTTTTCCTTTAGGAAGACCGCCATTTTCTTTCTCACTGCAAGTTTACAACACGTACGCATGCGCACCATGAGAGAGAGCAACTTTTGAGGCAGCCGCAAGTTTCGAATGAATTATTTTTATTTGTTTTAATACTTTTTTTTAAAAAAAAATATATATATTAGCGTCGCAACATGTCGTATGTGGAAGCTTGAATCAAAAGACAGGACATAAGATGTGAACGTTTCGGCTTATTAGAGCCTTCTTCAGCATACAGGACAAATGAAAATACGACAAGGAACAGAGTACAGTAAAAAAAAAAAAAAAACTTTAGAGATCACATAATTTTTTTTACCCACTTCCCGTCAACCTATTGAGCTGAAACTTGGCACTTAGACTCGTTAAAGATGACAAAACATTCTTTCAAATTTCAGCCCCATCCAAACCACCAAAAATCAATTTTCTTGTTTTTGAACGCGCAAATAAAATAAAATTCCCGATACCTGCGCTAAAAAAAATAAATCTCAAGTGGGTTTGGTGCGTGATATTTTCTTTTGTTTTTCTAAAAATTGTTGGTGAAATAAATCTGAACTGTAAAATTGTGTAAGTCATTAGAATATTCATATATGATGATTATTGAATAATTTTATAGCTCTTGTGTCCATGCTATTTTTCTTATGCTCACAGCGCTCTAAAGTCCTATAATCTATTTTAAGAAAAAGCCTTTAAATTTTTCTTAAATGACTTTCTATTATATTTAAGTTCCCTTAAATATTTAGGCAAACTGTTCCATAATTTAGGTGCAATAGCTTCAAAAAAGCGCACTCCGTATGCCGTATGACTTTTTTCTGTGTCCATCAAAACTGGGAACCCTCATAGGACTGTGTTGAAAAGTTCAGGTTTTGTAAGGATACATGTTAAGAAATCAATTTTTTTAAGATATTCAGGTCCAGAGCCTTCTATAGAACTGTACACCAGGGACAGAATTTATAGTCAATGAGCTCACTCACGAGAATCCAGTGGAGATCTATAAGAACTGTGGTGATGTGTCATATTTCTTTATACGCGATACAAAGAACATAATTCATGACACGGAGTAATGCCGTCTTACAACTGTGTCCAGGTCAATATGCAGAGTGAAAATTATTTGGTTAAAAAGGCATTAGTGTTAAGATGCTGCACAAGCTGCTGTGAGAACACTCTCTCAAGAATTTTAGATACAAAGGCCAGGCTCGAGACCGAACGAAAATTCTTGCAAACATTTGGGTCCAGGTCGTTTTTATTTTCTTATTCTTCTATATATTATTATTAATGGCCAATGATCAATGTATTGATCATTCTGGTCCCTATATATGTAGAAGGATTTGCAATGTTTCTGTGCCTGATATTGAAGAGGATATTTCACTGTTTGCAAGGGCTACCCAGCGAGGGTATCATGAACTGGGGTTTGGAAGGCCCGAGGCAATATACGAAAAAATGTGTCAAGTGTTGTCGCCTCACTTGTTCCTTTTGGAAGCTTGTTCCAGTCCTTGGTTGCCTTTGGCAGGAATGAGCAGTTCCTATAACTGTGTTCTTGCTGTTATGATCCAGAACTGCCTGTCATGGCCTTGTCGCTATCTAGAGGGGGGGGGGGGTTTCTGTTTAGTGCTGGAGCAGGGGAGCAAATGTGTTCAGTGTTCACACAGCAGGGTAAAATATAGCAGACTACGCGACTGTGATTTCTGATTTCATTCTTTGTTTCTAAATCGCTCTCTCCCTTCCCAACAACCCCCTTAACTGTGTTCTTGCTGTTATGATCCAGAACTGCCTGTCATGGCCTTGTCGCTATCTAGAGGGGGGGGGGGGTTTCTGTTTAGTGCTGGAGCAGGGGAGCAAATGTGTTCAGTGTTCACACAGCAGTGTAAAATATAGCAGACTACGCGACTGTGATTTCTGATTTCATTCTTTGTCTCTCAATCGCTCTCTCCATTCCCAACAACACCCCACCAACTATATTTCAGTCTCCATTGTTTATATACCTCAGCTGACCGACCCAGCGTTTGCTATTGTAAGCTGACATGCGAAGCGATTGGCCTAACTTTTTAATACTTCTATTCTATATTGCATTTGCATGTTGTTATTTTTTTAAAATAAATAATAATATTATATATATACCATTTACCAAAATAATAATAAGTAATGATGAATTGATGTTAAATCGAAAACGTTCTTATTGTTTTTACCTGAGAAGGATCATTTGGTTAGAGAACATGCAGTTTTAAATTCATAATTTGTTCAATGTAAAATAAATTATGTGGATTTGGTTTTAAAAAAGTGTTTTAAAGTACAGGGTGGGCCAATAAAAAAGAGAACATCTCGTAAAATATTACGCTACGAGATGTTCTCACTTTTATTGACCCACCCTGTATATCTAAGAGGCAATTTGTAATTTATTTGAAAAAAGTTAGAGTATTTTGAAATATACAGTGGGCCAAAAAAAGTGAGAACATCTCATAAAATATTACGCTACGAAATGTTCTCACTTTTATTGGGCCACCATGTATTCTGTCTTTGTAGCCAACTCATGGCTTCTTAAAATAGTTATGCCGTTCATATACGATTTATAAAAATTAGACTACCAGTTTTCAGAACTTTCTAATTAACAGGCTGTTTTATTTTTTTTTTTTTTTATTATTTATTTTTTTTGACTCTGGTAAAATTTGGAAAAATTTAGTCTAATTAATTATAAGTAAGTTTTTTTTTTTCCCAATTGTTTTTTAGAACTTTTTAATTATTATGTTTTTTTTTTTTTTTTTTTTTTTATTATTTATTTTTTTTGACTCTGGTAAAATTTGGAAAAATTTAGTCTAATTAATAATAAGTAAGTTTTTTTTTTTCCCAATTGCATTTAGCATATAAAAAAAAAAATGTTTGCGGTATTTTTTAGTGATGGAACCCTTTTTATTTATTTTGTTGTGTGTTGAACATTATTTTATTAATTAAGTAGCTATCCCCCAAAAATAATGTAAATAAAATAAATGCCATATTAATAATTTTAGTACTATACAAATATTTTTGATTGCATAACACAAGCCGGTCATTCGACTTTCATTGAAAGATGATAATTAAGAACATATCATCACATCTTTAAACGCCTACAATATCTGAGGCACCTTGCATCGTTGTTGTTGGTCTTTTTCCACATCCATTCATCTAAGCCTAGGTCTGCATTTGAGCCGTTTTCCTCTGGGGTTTTGGTGATGCACCCTCTTCACTCATCTGCCATATGACATTTTCTCTCTAAGTCTAAGTGTCCTGCCCAGCGTAGCCCGCCCTTCGTTATTTCTATTATCGTGGATCCTGATAGAGACTGCACAATTCCTGGTTAGTTTGTATTATCCATCCATATTCATCCTTTGTTAATCCATATATTTTCCTGAGAACGCTTCTCTCCCATGCGTTCATTAGGTTTTCTGCCGTTTTTGTTAGGGTCCAAGTTTCCCTTGCGTATCTTACAACTGGTCTGATTACATTTTTATAAATGTTTTCTTTGTTTCTCTTGTAATGTTTTTACTTTTGAGTATTTTCTGACTATTGAAGAATGCTCTGTTTCAGGCTGATATTCTTTCTTTATTTCTGGTAGTTATTTGTTTCTTTCATTTAATAAAGATCCTAGGTATTTGAATTGATTTACTTTTTCAAAAGTGTGGTTTCTAATTTTAATGACATCATCTGTCTGTTCTTCTCTTATCATAGCATTGTATTTTTTTTTTTTTTTTTTTTTTTTTTTTTTTATTTTTTTTTTTTTTTTTTTTTTTTTTTTTTTTTTTTTTTTTTTTTTTTTTTTTTTTTTTTTTTTTTTTTTTTTTTTTTTTTTGGTTGTTAACCTCCAGTCCTGCTTGTAGTGATGCGTCTTCTAATTCAATAAAGCATTTTAATACTTTCCCTAGCAGTGCTATGTCATCAGCATATGCAAGATACTGAAAGGGTTGATTGTAGAGAGTGCCCATTGGTTATGGATCTTGTGTTTCCCTCAGAAAGTATCCTGTTTTTGTTCCTCGGGTGTCAATATGTTTGCTTCTTACAACTCTTTCTAATGTTGGGTTAAATAACATACAAGACAATGAGTCTCCTTGTCTTAGGCCTCGTCTTATCTGAAATTCCCTTGAATATTCTCCTTGCATCTTGATTTTGCTTTTTGAGTTGTTAAATATTACATGTCGTATCAGTCTTATCAGTTTGTTGGGTACCGTATGCCAAACTCCTGCAGAGTCTCATACGCGTATAGATATTTTCTTTTGATGCTGTCATATGCCATTTTATATTCCACATAGAGTTGGTGTACTGGGATATTACAGTCATAACCAGATGCGTAGCGAGTGGGGGGCAGGGGGGGGCAGATGTCCCCGGGCGCAAGTTAGTTGGGGCGCCAAAATGTGCTTTGATATTATATTATTGGTAAAAATAATGGGTTTGAGGGTTGAAAAAAAGAAAAAGGATGCTTTAAAATGGATCTTGTCCCCGGGCGCCAAACACCCTCGCTACGCCTTTGGTCATAACATTTCTCTAATGGGCATCTGATGATGAAAATCTGATCAGTCTTTGATTTGTTTAGCCTGAATCCACATTGGTAATTACCTAGTGTTTCTTCAGTGTACGTTTCGTAAATGCTGCTTCGGTCAAGGCCAAATGTATGGAGGGACGTGAGGGTTCCGCGTATGGCGGATTGACTGGGGTTAAGGTCGGGCGTTCTCTATTGCGAGGCAGGTCGAATGTCTTCTCAAGCTCCACTACCTGGTGCATGAAAGAGATCGCTTTAATCTCCTGCCCACCACCCAGTTATTCTGCATCTGGAACGACGGTTCTTTCTCGTTCAGCAGTCTGTACCTCTCTACGTACTTAATATTGCCTTTTCTCTCCTTATATGTAACGGTTCTACATTGGCCAAGACTTCTACAGCAGCTGTGGGTGTGGTCATGAATGCGCTACAGATGAATCTCAGAGCATGATTCTGGATTTCGCCCAGCTTTTCCAATGCGATTTTGCTAGCAAAGGATTGGACTGGCATACTGTAATCCATCACCGACCTTACACTGCCTAGAAAAGAAATAGACATCTAAGCGTTCTTACGCTCGCACCAAAACTTGTGCATGCCAATTTTTTTCACCAGATTGAGTTTGGCGGTTGCCTGGTAGCAGAGGTCTTGTTCAAAATTGTGCATTTGTACCTTTTGATCCAATTGGACCCCCAGGTAAACTGGTTGTTTGTCCCATTTGAGCGCTACATCGCCAACCTTGAACTCAATCTCCTGTTTGAGAATGGTCCGCCCGTTGGTAAATAATGAGTAGACCGTTTTATCGGTGTTAATTTCCAGATGCCACCGCCGCATGTACCCATTGATAGCAGAAAGGTCTTGCTTCAAAAGCCGGCGATGGCTCATGGGGATCGAGATAACCGAGGTTAAGTGGCAAATTTGGCCGAGTTTTGTGCTCGAGATATCAGGGTTCGGCGACATAAAAGAATCGACATAACAGAGGAGAAAATGCTAAGACAAAGAGAGAATTTGGCGCTTACATTTAAAAAACGTCGACATAACAGGGTTGGCGAGTTAACCGACGTCGAGACAAGCGGGTTCAACTGTACTGTCCTTAGATAAGGACACGGTAGCTTTGGTATCGTTTTCTTTACTTATTGTTTGTCTTAGTCTCTTGTTACGTATTGTTTATTATACCTGCAGCTACAATTTTAACAGATTAATATCTTCAAAACTGTAACGGTACGTAACAAGTAGTAATTGACATTCAGCAACTCTTAGGTGGACGAAACACAACAATAGATTAATAATAACAGATCATCATAATACAAAAATAAGTTTATTGAATCAAAAACATTGAAGTTAAACATAACGGACTTAACCGTACATTATGATAATGTGCGGGATATGAATTTTAAAACAACCATTACGGGAAAAGAGATGATTATATATCATTAAGAAATACAGAATGCATGTAAAATAAAAGCATATAGTTTGCACATATTAGGTTTTTAAATACTGGTCCCAACCAAGGACTATACGCTAAGCTGACAGGTACTTAATGGTGCGCTTAACCTATGTGCTAACAGAAATGCATGATATTAATATAGGTCCAGAATAGATGAATGTCTTTTTTGGTCTATGTTCTGATCATTTATATAGATTCATTTCATTATTTAACATTACCAGATCATAATATTGTAATGAACATGTAACATGTATATTTGACTTCAACTCCCAGCAGATCCTAAGGCCATTGGGAAACAGAGCTTGTCAGTTGCTGTTAATGATGAAATTAACTATTAATAGCTCTAGTCCTGACCTGGGGAATATGAAGACTGTTGCAAAACAAGCTGATGTGTGCAGTGGTGAAGCAGGAGACCTTACACTTAATGTAACTAAGATAGGTTTCTGGTTAGTCCAATGAAATTGACAGCCTTCTTACCAAGTGACAAAATATTTCTCTTTCTTTTCCTTTTTTTTTAAAAAGTAAATAATTATGCAATTATTTTTTCCATTTCATTTTACAATGGATTTTATTTTCCTGTGTATAATCTTTTACATCAGTACATTGACAAATTACAGTACATAGCAAATTAGCATAAAGAGTACAAAAATGTCTTTAGACAATAGCACAAAATTGCATTCAATTAAGAATAGAAAAAAATCCCCAAAAATGTAACTAAATTTAACAGGATACATATTTCATACAAAATTACACACAAAACAATTTTCCTCCAACAAATTAAATGGGAAATATCTTCAATTTCACATAAGAAATTCAACCAGCAAGTATATCACAACTGTGACATAGAACTAATACTAGAGTCTTGGTTTCTAAGTATTTTATTAAGCATATAATATGATGAAATAAATACCAGCACATGTAATCTTACCACCAGGCTATATCATAACTGAAGTCATTTTTGGGTCTTAACAAGGGAAGTACTTTTTTTATTTTTTCCAAAGAAGACAAAGCAAATCATCTACTTGTTAAAAAAAGGAAAAATAAAAAACACAAAATGGTACAGGGTAAGGTAATGAATTAGTTTGAAAACAAATTCAGGACTACCAGCACATTTCTTTACAATACACAACAAAACCTTTCCATGGGGTTTTCAAATAAAGCTGTGAAAGAAATCTTTATTTAATGTTTCTCAAAACCAAATCAGTCCCCTTGAATTATGATTTTTATAATTAAAATTATATGTAAAAATCTGAGTAGACAGAATGTAGAACTTAAAAAAAAATAAAATAACATAGTCCAAAAACAGCTAAAACTACTTCTCATATATTGAAAGAAGTTTTGATTAAGCCCAAAAAGAAAAATTCAAATTACAAACCATGCCTAAAAATGTACATCAAGCGCAAGAAATTATTAAGGAAGGTTATTACACTCTAGATATTGGGCTCACATAGATCCAAAAAGAAAGACTTTTCTTTCCAAATCAGTTACATCCAATCACCTCTTAAACCAATCAGACTGATTCTAACAATTATGTCAGTACAGATGACTCTTTGGCAGTATATATATATCTTGCAACCTCACTGGTGAATAACATCAAAACATTGGACGTGACCATCAGTTGAATTCTCAGACTCACCCATTCCTATTTCTCAACCATACAGCAAGTTAAATAAAGATATCCTTCAAAAAATTTGCACTCATATCAATATCATATACCAATTATTTAGGCAATTATCTATAATCATTCTAGACCAAAGCTTCAAACTTTTCCTTTACATTCCATCCAATGATCTGGTGCATTCATTACGTCATTACGAACACATTCTAATGTCAAGTTATAACACAAAGATTATCACTTTGGGTAGGAACATTTTTTTCCTGCAGGCATAAGTTACCTGCAAGACTTACATCTGCATCCACAATATGGATGCCTTGCTCATATTACAAGGATGAAGGTCACTAAATTGTAAAGCTTTACCCAAAACACAACATCAAAACAAACTAGGTTAAGGAATTATCTCTTCACTCAAGTGTCATTGTGATGTGGCACCTGAATGTATTGCAGCCATCTATGTTCAGACTTATGGTGTATCCCCTTTTATTTAGTAACTTAAATAACTCTCATTTACAAATACTAAAAGAATAATTGATATAACTTATTTATATAAGTTTTGTTTGAAAAAAAATTAATTAATTGATTCTTTCTGATGCAGCTGATGACACAATAGTTTAAATTTAGCACTCATACTTTAATTTTATTTAGAACACAAAATTTCTGTGTTGCCATCTTAATCATGAATGTTTGGTATTATTGATATTGCATTTTCTATTTAAAAAAAAAAATCTTCAACATCATCCAAAATTCACTTTAGCATATGTTGGGGTTAAAAACATTAACAAAAAGTCTGTATCGATAATTACAAACTGGTCACTCACTAACTGGTGGTTGAAAATGAGATCTAGATTAACTGAAAGGTATTTTGTTGCTCTATGAATTAACAAAAATTATTAGTGAAAACTTCCCAATGAAATTTCAATTCACGTTAAACAAAAAAAGTGATGAGAATATAATTACATGTTCTAGCACAAAAAGAAAAAAAAAAACGTCAAACTTCAAGTTATTATTTTTTTTTTCAATAATTAATAACAAGGTTCTGTAATTACTTTTATCTGAAAGCAAAGTGGTTAGCCATGCTTTTGGTGTTCCATCCTACTTCACATTCTTGTGATTAAAAAAAACATGAGAATATATTTTACCCAGAGCAAACCAGATTTGTTTTTTAACAGACAAAAAAAAAGAAGCGGAATTCCTAAGGATTGAATTGATGAGCAAATAACGACTGGCTTGAGCAAAGGCACCCAGTGGTGTAACTGATGGCTTTAATCACACTCTGAAGCACACTCACACATAGTTTAGTTTTCTTCAATTCTTTTTCTGAAATTAAAAATAAAGAATTTAAATTTTCTTAATATAATTAAATTAAGTTCTGGTATTATACTTTTAAATCTATTGAACAACTGCTTTATATTATAGGAAGTAAGACAAGCAATTCTTACCACTTCTGGTTTATTATTTGAACTATCTGAGCAGGATTGACTAGATGAAGAAATAGCAGGGTCCCAAAATACACTTGGTATATTGTTTCCAAAATAGATTTTGGTGTTGCTCCCTATAGCCTGATACCTTAGCATCTCAAGGTATTCTTTAGTTAATTTAACCTGCATTTAAAGAACAAACCTTTTTTCAAAGTTCTGCAAAAATACTGTTTGTTTAAAAAAAATAATTATACATTAAATAAAATAATGAGTTTCAATTTCATTTCTATTTAACATATTGTTAAGTTTGATTTTAATGTATATAATATTCATTTTTATTTAAAAACAACTCTTTGTGACAAAATAATAACTTCAATAATTATTTTTTAGATGGTTATAATTTTAAATTATCAATATAAGATCCAAGTTACATTTAAAAAAAACCTTTGGGAAAGAAGAGATCAAGATTTCACCTTATTGGACAATGCTTCTTTTTCAGCTTTGTAGAATTCAGCATCCGCTTTAGCTTTTTCTTTAGCAAGATGAGTAAAATCTGAAAGAATTGTTAAAACAATGGTTATCGATAAAAATTATAATATGTAATTAATTATACGAAAATAATCAAATATTAACCTCTTAACTCCAAATACACAATGCAGTGGCGTAGCTAGGGGGTGCGGACCGCACCGGGTGACACCATTTTAGGGGTGACACCCTATTGAAAAATTGCATCTTTACAGAGCACACACTGCTCAGTATAAACGAGATTACTAAAAGGATATATCCGATCACAAATAAATTTTTAACTAATGTAACCAATCCAAATGCATGCTTTATTAAAAGTTCAAGGTTGATGCGTCAGATATGAGATGAACTTATAATTAGGTCAGAAAAATACAGTCATTACTTAGCGCCAATTGAAGTGTTCGGTAACTTCCGTAAGTGACAGAAAGCTATATTTATCTAAATTCTGAGAAATAGGGCTTTCCATTGATACCAAATATGATGTGGCAGGGATATTTTAAGTACAAATATTGAATCGGTAAAAATCAACAATATTAAAACTAAATTTTTACCCATTTATAGGGTTAAAAAAATATATTGTTGTGTATAATTTTCAGTCTTTAAATGATTAATTTTTATTTATTAAATTTTAAATACAAAAGTTTTTTGAAGACATATGTAATATTATATATCAAAACCCAGAAATACTGAAAATTTAATATTTTTCCAGACTCGTCACTAGTACCTGTACCGTCCCGCCTTAACAGTTAGCACAATTGTCAGTTTTTGACTATTGGGTTTTACCTGCCACCTCTCTGTGTTTTATTTTTGATAGTACTCTGCTTTTTTTTAATTGTCGTAAGTAATTATTTTGCTTTTTGTCTTGAACACGACAAAATGAAAACATGTTTATTGTTCAAGATTATTATATCATGCCACGCGGCGTGCACAAATCTAAACGGCAGAGTGGCTGCCAGCAGCGAAAAGCAAAAAAGAAAATACCTGATTCAATAAAATCATTACCAGAATACATGCTTCGATATGTCAAGAAACCAAATGATGGTCAGGGTTCATAAAAAGACGTTCCTCAGCCTACCATTGATACTGATTCTCTCGATACCAGCAGCATGCGTTCTATACAACAAATAGCGGAGAAAATGGAAAAGAATGACATGGAAATACAAGTAAAAGACATTGATAGTTTGGAAACTTAATGTCTGCTGACAATGTAGATTCAAACCAAGATACTGTAAATGTAATGGTTAATGAGAAAAACTGGCACAATTATTAGATGCTTCTTTCTGGAATGTACCAGTTCCAGATTATTTTCGGTCTGAAATTGTTAAAATAGGGAGTACCTCATTTCAGAACAAGGACGGACTATTCAGCGTAGTGACAAGGCAAGATGCGAAATCTAAAGGAGGTTTGCGCTAGCTAACAAAACAATGGTTCTACAGGATGATGCCAAATGGCGAGAAAATACTGCGGTCATGGATGGTTTATTCACTCGTCTGTCAGAAATTGTACTGTTTTTGCTGCAGATTCTTTGCTGTTAATGTTACAGAAACAACATCCATATTTGTTACTGGTAACTGGATAAGTGGTGGATACTGAGCCCAAAATTACAAAATCATGAAACATCGGAAGAGCACCTATGTTGCCTTGAAAAGTGAAAAGTATTGGCAGCAGGACTTAGGATACACAAAACAATTGATGCCGAAAGTATTGCTGTGATGGACAGGGAGAAGAAAAAAATGGAGGGATATCCTGCACAGGTTGCTAGACTTCACATTGTATCTTGCGAGGCAAAATCTGGCATTTCATGGCCACAACGAAGATGAATCTTCACTGAATAAAGGAGATTTTCTTGAAATGGTTGAGATGCTATCTAAATATGACCCGGTGCTAAAAGAGCACCAAATGAGACTGAAGAGAAGTGCATCTACAGAAAAAGCATACACATCTTACCTTTCATCAGAAACCCAAAATGAATTTATAAATATCCTTGCAAATCATGTGAAGGAGATTCTTTTCATGGATATAAGGTATTTTGGAATTATGTTCGCCAGTACACCTGATATATCACACACTGAACAGATGACTGAAGTGATCAGATATGTGAAAATCCACAATAGGAAAGTTGAAGTGAGAGAAGTGTTTCTTGGATTTTTCCCGTTAAAGGGGAAAAAAGCTGTTGACCTCAGGTCTTACATTCTTACAAATCTAAAATGTGATGGATTAGACATACTGATGTGCAGAGCTCAAGGTTACGATAATGCTGCTACAATGTCTGGAATCCATGGAGGTGTTCAGGCCATTCTGACAAGAAATAATAAGAAAGCGATTTTTAATGGATGCGTGTACCATTCGCTTAAATTGTGTGGTCAACACTCTTTTGTAGAAAATGCTTCGTGTATTACATTTTTCGGAACTCTTTAAAAAATATTTTTCTTCTTTGCTGCATCCACTCATCGATGGAGGGTTCTAACACACTGGGATGTGGTTGAAAAAACTGTCAACAACACGTTGGAGTGCTTATAATGCTGCTGTTAAAACAGTGAAAGATAAGTTTGATGAATGTGTGGAGGGGATTGAAGCTCTGTGTGATCCTCTTAGAAATTTGTAAACAAGAGGTAAAGCACAAGGTCTTTTACATGAAGTCTGTGACACGTTTATCTGCTACCTTTACCTATGGGCTGATCTATTTGAGGAAGTTAATCTTACACAGCAGTATCTGCAGACTACAGGCTTTACTCTAGACAAAGTGGTGACAAACCTAGAGGCATTAAGATTGTTTCTGCATGAGAAGCGCTGTCACTTGGTGGAACATGCTATTGAAAAGGCACTTTTAAAATCATACCAATGTGGAATTTCAGCAGAGAGAAGATAAAGGTTTAAGAAGAGAATGGCAGGAGAACCGTTAATAGATGCTGGACTCGCTCTGCGCGAAGAAAACAGTAGGGAGATGCTGGAGTGTATTGATCGCTTTCAGTCTGAACTCCAGATCAGATCATCAGCGATCAAGGAAGTAGACGATATGTTTGGGGCTGTTCAACCCAAGAGTCTAGTATCAGCAAGGGAAGAAGAGTTATTGTTGTCCGTTCCAAAATTAACCTCTTTCTATGATGAGTTGTCAGAAGATGAACTTTTAAAAGAAATACCAAGGCTTAGAAGACACCCAAAGACAGCTGATATTTAATTTTACAAAGTCATGGACGGGTCAGTATTTGATGTTTTGAAATTCATAGTTGAATGGGACTTCCTAGAATCTCTTCCAATACTCTCGCTAAGCCTTCAATTATTTCTTACGATCTGTGTGTCTGGGGCCTAATGTGAGCGGAGCTTTTCAAAACTAAGGCTTATCAAGAACTATTTACGATTTACCATGGGACAGTCTAGGCTTTTTGATACGGTTCTGCTATCAATTAAAAGTGATATGGTGAAGGATATTGATTTTGATCAAGTGATTGACAGGTTTGCAGCTTTGAGGACCAGGAATAGAAAATTTTAATGAAAGTAAATTTGATGTAAAAATAAATAAAAATTAACGTTGTTACAGTTCTTAAATACATTGACCTTATGATCTTCAAGTGGAGAGAAATGGTATGTGTGTGTGTGTGACACCATGAGTTTACCGCACCGGGTGACACCAACCCTAGCTACGCCACTGATACAATGTATTGCACTAACTCTAAACAGCACATCATGATTTAAGTGTGTCTATAAATAAATTCAGTCACAGCTACTCTATACTAATCGCATAATCTTAACAATTACCGGTACCCTCATTGGGCTTTTTATTTGGAGCACTAAAAAAAAAGTTTTTTTGTGTTTTAACACCATTGTACTTAAAGAGCCTAGTTTTTTATCTCAGCTATAAGATTATAATTGAGACAGTAACAGTAATCTGCCAATTATAATATGGTGCATCACTAATCAGAAAACAATCTGTCCTCCTCAAAATAGCTTGGCTCATACCTTCAATTTCAGACATTGTCTTCTCAGACTCCTTCTCCATAATTTTTTGTTCCCATTGGATCTTTGAGACCTGGGCCACCTTTTCAGCCTCTGCAATATAGAAATTTAGCAATTAAAAGTTTATAACTTCCTACAAAAATTTCCCCCTAAATCATATTTATAATTCGTTATTACTGCTAAGTAAAAGTAATATTTAAATTGGATAAATATTTTATACAGGCTAAATTAGCCAGATGTTTCACAAAGCTACAACTAAGTAGTTGGAATTAATAGATTGAATAGCCCTGCTTGATGACTGTTCAAAGGGACAAGGTGAGCCATAAAGCCGAAAGACACCAACCCACTTGGCATGGGAGTAAAAATCACCTATCATTTTATATAACACAAAAATATGACACTTATTACCTACCCACTATGACATTATATAACATTTCCCTTGACCACCGCCCTAATATTATATAATATTTCTAGCAACCTCCCCCCTCTGATAAACCCTAACTAAGTCCAAAAACAAGAAGCAACAAGTAAAATGCCAGGGATTGTGATAATTATTGTAAGCAAGAATAATCATTTTAAATACCTGGGTAATTTCATAAATTTGAAAAGCAGAAATTTTACAAAAATAATAATTCATTTATAAAATAAATACAAGTAATTGTTAAATAACTGCTCTTAACCACCCCCACACCACCCATATAACACAATATAATAAAATGATAACCACCCCCCCCCCTACCCCTTCACATTATTTATGTGCATAGCCCCTATGCAAAAATAGATTTTGTCTTTTGACGTTGGTTACAGCTTTCAGAATAATCCCTGATAGTTAAGAAACAATAATTTCCTTAAGAAACTTGGGGAAAAAAAAGAAGACTAACCTATGATGGCTCGTTTTCTGTCAGTTTCAGCTTCCTTTTCCACTACCTTTTGTTTCTGTATTGCTATTAAGAGTTTTGTTTTTTCTCCCTCCCTGTATAGAAGAGTTTCAAATTTATAAAAAAAGTGAGCAGTAAAAAAATAAAACTGAGTTTGTCCCATATTTGGCAAAAAAATTATTTAAGTTTTATTTATTTGGAAATGAATTACGATTACTTACATAGCTTCATAATTTTTACGGATCTGTTCTGGGATCTTTGGTTTTGTTACACGCACAGCTTGCACTGTTAACCCTGGTGCCATCTCATAGAGTTCTGACTGCAGGGCCTTACGAAGATTCTCATCAATTTGATCTAAACATAACATTAGGTCACACATTTAAGTTGTTGAATAAAAGCATTTCTGGCAGAGTTTAGTAAAAATATACAGATGTATCTGAGCATCTTGTGGGAGATGCTGATCTTCTATCGAGCACCTCCCCAGCCGGCGGATAGGGGAAAGCCCGCCAGATATGGAGGGTACCGGGGAAATAAAATACCCGGGGCGGACCAAAATCAGCCCTACTGCCTTGTAGGAAGTGGAGGGATCCACAAAGGCTAGGGACCTAACCCGAACAAAGGCAGCTACCCATTGAGCTGTGAGGGGCAACCCCCCAAGTGGTTGTGCGCAAGGCCAACAACCCTGCCATGTAAAAAATCATAGTTACAAAAGCACCGAAAAGAGTAACAAAAGACATTTCAGTCCTGGGAGAGGATGGATTCCTTGAGGAGGAAAATATGACGCCTAATAGTGAAAGCCGAAACCTGGAAGCTATTAAGCCGACAACCATCATCTCTACCAGGACTACCACCGTCATTGGCGCTTGGAATGTCCGCACCATGTACGAGGCTGGTAAAGCGGCACAAATAGCCGCTGAGATGAGGAGCTATAAGCTCACCATTCTCGGAATTAGTGAAGCAAGATGGACTGGATGGGGACAGAAGAGATTAATCTCAGGAGAGATGGTGATATTTTCGGGACACGAAGAAGACAATGCCCCACATACCCTGGGTGTTGCTATGATGCTATCAAGGGCAGCACAAGGAGCACTCATTGGATGGGAGGCCCATGGACCTAGAATTCTTTTAGCAACCTTTCGAACAAAGAAACGTAGCATCAACCTAGATGTTATACAATGCTACGCACCAACTAATGAAAGTGATGAAGGAGACAAAGAAGAATTCTACAATAGAGTAATGACCATAGTCCAGGATCGCCCACGGAGGAACATCGTCATCCTCATGGGAGACTTTAATGCCAAGATCGGCAATAGCAACACAGGGTACGAAGAGGTTATGGGACAGCAAGGGATAGGCGAGATGAACGACAATGGTGAGAGGTTTGCGGACCTATGTGCCACAGCTGACCTGGTCATAGGGGGGAGCATTTTCCAGCACAAGAGGATTCACAAAGCTACATGGGTCTCTCCGGACATGAGAACGATGAACCAAATAGACCATGTATGTATTTGTAAAAAATTCAGGCGATCTCTCCAAGACGTACGTGTTAAGAGGGGAGCTGATATTGCCTCAGATCATCATCTTCTTGTGGCCAGGATGAAATTAAAACTAAAGAGACATTATACCGAGCAAACAGCATACAGGACTCGGTATAATACCTCCCTCCTGAAGGACCAAGCCAAAAAGGAAGAATTCAGAATCTCACTATTCAATAAGTTCCAAGTCCTACAAGAAATACTTGAAGATGAAACCACCGAAGGAAAGTGGCAAAGCATGAAAGAAACAGTCCAGTCAACATGTCAAGAAGTGCTAGGAAACAGGAAAAAGGCACACAAAGAATGGATGACAGCAGGTACGCTGAATAAAATAGAAGAAAGGAAAAGAAAGAAATCAGAAGTGAATAACAGCCGCACCCGAGCACAGAAAAACAAGTCCCAGAAGGAGTATGCAGATGCAAATAAGGAAGTTAAGAAAAGCATCAAGAGAGACAAGAAGGAATTTGTTGATAATCTTGCTAAAGAAGCAGAGGATGCAGCTCACCAGGGGAACATGAGGGAACTGTTTGATACCATTAAGACGCTGTCAGGGAAATTTAGCAAGGTAGAGAGACCAGTGAAGGACAAAATGGGAAACACCATACCAAGTGAGGAGCAACAGAGAGGGAGATGGAAGGAGCACTTTGAAGAGCTCCTGAACAGGCCTGAACCAAGAAATCCACCAGATATCCAACCAGCCGATAATGACCTGCTAATTGACTGTAATAGTCCCACCAAAGAAGAGATTAGCAGGGCCATTAAACAACTCAGAAATGGAAAGGCTGCGGGACCTGATGGCATCCCAGCAGAGGCACTGAAGGCGGACCTGGAAACCAGTGTGGAAATGCTACACCCTCTGTTTATGAAGATATGGGAAGAGGAGCAAGTTCCTTCCGATTGGAAAGAGGGATACCTTATCAAGATCCCAAAGAAGGGAGACTTAAGCTCCTGCTCGAACTACAGAGGGATCACCCTGCTGTCCATCCCAGGAAAGGTTTTCAACCGTGTACTACTTAACAGGATGAAAAACGCTGTAGACCCTCTGTTGCGGGACGAACAAGCCGGCTTTCGCACCAACAGATCCTGCACGGACCAGATAGCGACACTGCGCATCATTCTAGAGCAGTCACTAGAGTGGAACTCGCCGCTCTATGTCAACTTTGTTGACTATGAAAAAGCCTTCGACAGTGTTGACAGGCAAACCCTGTGGAGATTGCTAAGGCATTACGGGGTGCCACAGAAGATTACTGATATAATCAGAAACATGTACGAAGGGATAAACTGCCGAGTTATCCATGGCCAGCAGTTGACAGATGCTTTCCAGGTGAAGACTGGTGTGAGACAAGGTTGCTTGCTGTCACCATTCCTCTTCCTGTTAGCCATTGACTGGGTGATGAAAACATCTACACAGCAGAAAAGGAATGGCATCCAATGGACCTTGTGGGATCAACTGGATGATCTTGACTTTGCTGATGATCTTGCACTTCTTGCACATACCCAACAACAGATGCAGGAGAAAACAAACATTGTCGCAGCCACTTCTGCTAGCATGGGTCTCAACATTCACAAAGGGAAGAGTAAAATCCTCAAGGTTAATGCCACCAGTACATCACCCATTATGCTTGAAGGAGAAGCCCTTGAGGAGGTGGACAGTTTTGTTTACCTTGGCAGCATGGTAGATAAACAAGGTGGTACAGATGCGGACGTCAAAATAAGGATAGGAAAAGCAAGAGCAGCCTTCCAACAACTCAAGAATGTTTGGGTCTCTAACAACTTAGGCAGCAAGTTAAAAGTAAGGATTTTTAACTCTATGGTAAAACCTGTGCTGCTATATGGAGCCGAGACATGGAGAACAACGGCCTTAAACCTGACCAGAATCCAGTCCTTCATCAACAACTGTCTAAGAAGGATTCTCAGAATTCACTGGCCAGACAAAATCAGCAACCAGGAACTGTGGCAGCGGACAAAACAGAAACCCATTGAGGAAGAGATTCTCCAGAAGCGGTGGAGGTGGATTGGTCATACACTAAGAAAACCTGCTTCTAACATAACAAAGCAAGCCCTGAAATGGAACCCACAGGGTAAGCGGAAAAGAGGCCGTCCAAGAAACACTTGGTGCCGAGAATTGGAGACAGACATCAAGAAAATTGGCCATGAATGGAAGATCCTGGAGAAGCTGGCCCAGGATAGAGATGCCTGGAGGTCTCTCGTAGGTGGCCTATGCCCTTGGAGGAACCGCAGACGCTGACGATGATCGGTGGATGCCCCTCATGGACGAGAAGGCTCAACAACATCTGAGCATACAAATATACTTTGTAATTTAAGCCTTTTCGTGTGTTTTATTATTTCCTCTGAACTCTTAACTTTTATTTTTGAATTTTTTATTTGTTAAAATAAAAGTTAATTGTATTTTTTTGCTTAACAGCTTTTTTTAAAAATAAATCACCTATTCAAAATCAAATATTTACCAAACAAGTCAATATAAACTTCTTGAAGATTGTGACTGCTGCAGAACTGGTTCAGTTCATGGTGAATTTTGTTGTAGATCAATGTCTTGTCGTAATCTGCAGTGTAGTTCTTCACAATGTCATAAACTTGATAGAAAGAATAATAATGTTTAGTGAGATTCATTCAAGATATTAATGTGCATTTCTTATTAACAACTTGATAAAAATTTTCAAAAATAACATGTTGATTTTCATAAACAGTTTATTACCAGCTGATGAATCCAGCTTATTGACGACCTCAATCCTTTCAAAGTATATAATGACACCACCACTGCAAGAGAAATTGTTTTACATTGTTTATATTTGCATCAATCACAACAGTTTTCTATTTAAGTGTAACTGATCGATCAGTTTAAAATCAGCAGGTTACTTATATATTTTTAATTAATGGCACATCCATATATTGCATATGCAAAAAAAATTCATCTTTTCATGCCCCCATACATTTATTGACCCCCCCCCCCCCAACACCATGCACACATACAAATTCGCTTTAAACACCTCCACTACCACCTGTTTCAATTTATTTATAGACAATTATGACGTAAAAGCTAGAGAAATTGTTTTACATTTTTTATATTTGCATCAATCAAAACTGTTTTCTATTTAAGTGTTACTGAACGATCAGTTTAAAAACAGCAGGTTACTTATATATTTTTAATTAATGGCACATCCATATATTGCATATGCAAAAAAAATTCATCTTTTCATGCCCCCATACATTTATTGACCCCCCCCCCCCAACACCATGCACACATACAAATTCGCTTTAAACACCTCCACTACCACCTGTTTCAATTTATTTATAGACAATTATGACGTAAAAGCAAACGAAGTCTCTGTAAACCACATTAAAAATTAGCCTAGCATGTATAAAAGTACCTATATTTTATCTTTAATGACTGTCTTTGGTTCAATAACGATATCACAAATTAAGTCATGCACAGAACCACAGGTACCTGGACTCAAGTTGCTACTGAGCTAATAATATTATCAAAACATTGTGGAGCACCCCACACCCCCTCAGAAGCTATGTAATATATGGATGGCCCCTAAGAGAATTGAAGTACATACCTTGTTCCACATGGAACGTTTTTAACCTCATCTGTCTGCAGAGTAGTCTTTGTAGGATAAAGATAAAAATACTGTTTTTTTTAAAGGTTTTTTTTTTAAGGATATTTATTCAAAATTAAGTGAAGTGATAAATATTTATGACAATTTTGTAAAAATATTGGTAAAAGCAATAAAATTATTTCTAACATCTTAGTTTTCACCTGGAGGTTTAAATGATAACAGTTAAGGCTAACAAATGTTTATTTACCTGAACTGATCTAAACGAGGTGAGAACTGGCAGCATAAAGTGATAGCCAGGTTCACTGGTCGTTGATAAGAGCGCACCACCCTGAGGTGAAAGAAAACCAAACAATCAACTTGCTCGAGTATAACAATTTTACCACCAAAAATAAAAAAGCACAAACAGTATTTAGACTTTAACTTTAAATTTATTACAGCAAATTCAATAATTATTTTGGTACACATATAAAATAAATTATCATTTGAAGCACTTTTTTTTTTAATATAGGTTTGCCATCTTATAACTCTAAGGACTTACTCTATAGTATACTCCAACATGTCCTGAGGATAATTTTTAAACAAATGTTAATATTTTACAAGAGATGTTTACATTACATCATTTTAAAATTTATACCATTATATATTAGTATCATTCTTGAATCTAGTCTACATTAGTGCAACAAAAAGCTTTAAAAAAAACTTTGCTAACTAAATGGTTTGCAGCTAAAAATACTTGCAAAAACTGAAATGATTTTAATAACATAACATTTCTTCTAGTTATTGGACTTGACTTTCAAAATGTTGAACAGCTGTAAATTTATATGAAAGAGAAGCCTATTTATTAATTCTACACATTAAATACACATCCACTTTAAATGATAAATAATATCTTAATTAACTATCTAGACCAGTATTCTATGAAGAAGGTGGCCTCTGATTTCAGCGTAGAGTATAAATTTGAATCTTTTCCCCTTATATACCTTACCTCACAATCACACATATAAACAGCTGAAATAAATCAGATATAGCAAAGCTCATTCTTAAATAAATTAAATAATTACCTTCTTCAATCTTGTGTATTGAGAAGTTTATGAAAATGCCTAGCACAACAGCACCAACTAACATGAATACTGCAGCAGGTTGTGCCATGTTACCTATTGCAAAAAAGTTGTTCAAAGTTAACATTCTGTAATTTTCTATGAAATTTAACAAAGTAAAAAATATTTTCAGTAAAAAAAAAAAAAAGTTTATTATTTAAATATATTCCCCGTTGGCTCTCATTAAACAAGGCTTTATTTACAGTTTTTAAATTATCTTTATTGAGTAGATACTTAAATAATAACAGAAATAATAGCCACAAACAAGTGTTGAGTATGCTGAAAAAGTGACATCTATTTTCAAGATAAACCTATCAGTGGACTAGGTATTTATTAAAATAACTATCAGTTTGTATCCTTATTAGGCTTATATGCACCTTTTTGATTAATTACTAATGATCTAACTTTTACGTCTTTAATGAAGAAAAGGGATCTGATTGAGTACTGATTGAAATCACTTTTCTTCAATTTTGTTTTGAATATAATAAAATTATCATTCTCATTAGTTGGACACAGGAGTGGATGGGCATCACCTAAAAAATGAATACTTTTCACAAAAGATTTACAGGAAACAGCAAGAAAACTGATGCCTGTATCTGAGAAATTTTTATGAACTTGATTGAGTCTTCCGTGGAACTTTTGAAGAACAAAATGTTGCGATTCAACATCTAACCAAGGGCAACTAGAGTGCGTGAAAAACTTCCAGATTACTAAATATAAAAATCTGCAGAAAGGTTGTAGAGAAGACACTGAAATTTGTCTAAAAGTAATTATAACGAAGAGTTCAATTGCAAATCGATTTGCGTTAGGGGAATGGGGTTGAGTTATGGGTAGAGACTCAACAGGAGGCACAAAACCAAAAAGGGGGCCTACACGTATCACAGCTCTGGATATGGGTTGTCCCAAATGGACGTCCGCACAAAAAAATAACCTTTGCATTAGTGATGGGACGATTAATCGGAATCGTATCAGAATAATCGAAATATCTGGATTTTTCCAAAGCATCGGGAATCGGTTTCGGAGCTGAATAATCAGACCCGATTCCGATACCAAAACGTTTCTTAACTGATGAACTGCCGTAAGCCGGTGACAGCGCAAAGCTACATCTTTGTATTATTAAAATGGAATTATTGATAGATGTGTTTATATAAAACCTTTCCAAGACATTGTTATCTAGCATATTGTAAAGCTTTATTAGCAAGTTAATAAACTTTTCTAATCAATTCTCAACTTTTAAATTAATTAAATATGGTAATAGCATAGCTGGGCACACTTATACATATATGTAATAATGGCCAGGAATCGTATCGGCAATCGGGATAATTGGGTAGAATCGGAATCGTTACAAATTTTGGTATCGTCCCACCCCTCCTTTGCATACCCCCCCCCCCCCCCATGTTCATCTGCACTTTTTACAGTGGGTAATGCCAGGAAATAAAACTACTACAAAGAGCACAGAGTATACATTTAAATTTCTAAAATCAGTATAATTATAGGTCTATCCATATATTAATTATGCAGTATTGGGAGAGGGGAGGTAGGTTTAGCAGAATGAACATACATTTAATAATTATCTTGAATTTCTGACACTGTAATACATCTAATAAAGCAAACTTTAACGTAAAAATGTGTGAAATCAATGATATTTAATTACTGTTAAAAGACTTTTAAAAAATCACGGCTGTGTTTTGTATTTATCATCATACTGTTGTTTTGTGTTGACAATTGCTTGATATCACAATGGCAATGGTTAGTTAGCCTCGGACAACTTTAACTTCAAGATCAATGTACTTGATTCTCTGCCTTTAACACTACTTGTGTCATAATTATATTCTTGGAGATAACAACAAAATAGATACACTGGCTTCCCATTAGTTTTTTCCCCTCCCCCGAGGGATCACATAAAATTAAATGTTATAATGCCCCCCACCAAAAAAAAAAAAAAAAAAAAAAAAAAAAAACTAGGAAAAAAAATTGATTTTAACATAGCTACACTTTTTAGGCTTAAATATTCCCAATCATAGGATAAAACTTACAATAAGTGATAAATATATTTGTATTTCAATATATGGGGGGAAAATAAAGTGGTCAACTTTAAAAATAAATGATGGTTTAACATTATGCCGCCCCTCCCCCCAACCACTTTCCAAAAATAGTAAGAAATGCTTTGCTCTTTACAAGGACTTTGCCACAAAAATGTGGAACTTACCCAATATCTTCCTCCCAATCCACAAAATAAAAACTATATATATTATATAAATTTGTTTACAAAAAAAATACTGTTAAAGTCTTATAGGAACGTCGTTCCCTTACGTTCATGCAGGACTTGGGCCCTGTGCACAATAAAAATATCAGTACTACCTTTGTTAATCTTAGAGGAATTAAGTGCTTTTTAAATAAATGGTTTTCAGTTTTAACCAGGTACTTCAGTAAAACAAGGGAGACTACTAACAAATTTGCACGGGAAATGGGCGTCTAAACAGAAGAATCCAAGTTTTTAATGGGGGGGGGGGGTGCTTTTCCATTAATAAAACGACTAATATTTTGTCATAAAATTGTGGTATCCTTTCACATGTTTACATTCGGAGACATCTTAAGCTACATTCCAACGTACCCGGTACTGTTTTGCACCGTTTGATCGACCTTAGTTTTAGAAATTCAAAGGTGTATATAAGGCATCTTTCCCTAAAAAATTTGTTAAGAAATTTAAAGATCATGTCTTTTATATTAAATTCTGAAAAACATTATATGTTTGATGTATCTGTGTGCCAATTTTTATTGACGTATGTCGTGTCCAATGTTCGCTACGCTTGTCCAAGTAACCTGCATTACCATAAGGTCGCTCAGCCTAATTTTGACATGGTGTGGGCCACGCCCCCTTTTTTAATGGCGGAAGATGCTGATACTTAGGAAATATTTAATTATTACTACTATTTACATAAAAAAATATTTGAAAACTTATGATTTAGAGTGAACTTAAATGTTATGAAAGAATAATATTTCAATTTGAGGTTAAAAACCTGGTAGAGTCCATATTATAATTATCATAATTTGCCGTTTGCAAAATGTCATGGCAATGGGCAGCCATTCACAATCACTTGCATAATCGCTATACCGTACTGTCTCAAAGTTTTCATTTATAAAAGTTTGCCATGTACAAAAACTATACAACCATTGGTCAGGGACAGCTTTAATTAATTAGTCATGTGACAAAGTTGCAAGTTCAAAATAAGTAGCCTCCATACAGTACTTTAGTAATAAGGGGATGCGTTGCCTTATAGAGACTATATAGAATATATATAATGGACGACGTAGATTTGGTAAACAGAAAAGCCATATATTAATTAGGGGTGTGCCGGATCCGTTTTTTCCAACCGGATCCGGATTTTCTTATGCGAAATCGGCCGGATCCGGATTCCGGAATAATCCGGATTCCGGATTTTGGTACTATTGGTAGATACTTCGGTAAGTCAAGGTGGACTACTACTTTTTGTGTATGGGAATTCGCAATCGGCGCCAAAAAATCCGAGTTTTTAATTTTCCGATGTGTGTCTCTATTTATTATTAAATTAGTACTTTCGATATATATTTGAGTTCCGTTCCATTTGGATAAGTGTCTTACGAGAGACGCCATGTTTCTACGCGTTTGCAGCAGGTCATGCAGCTCGCTCAACCTAATTTCGCCATGGGGTTGGCCACGCCCCCCTTTTTAATGGCGGAAGTTGACGATACTTAAGAAATATTAATATATTATCACTATTTACATCAAAATAATTGATAACTTGTGTTTCAGAATGCATTTAAAGACATTTAAACTGGAATGTTTTAATTTGAGCTTTAACAACCCGGTAGAATCCATATTATAAATGATCAGAATTTACAGTGTGCAACATGTTGTCATTGGCAACCATTCACAGCCACTTGCATAACTGTATCGTAGTACTACCTCAGAGTTTCATTCATAAGAGTTTGCCGTGTGCAAAAACTATTAAACCATTGGTCAGGGAAAGCTTTAATTAATTATTCATGTGCCAAAGTTGAAAGTTTAAACTAAGTCTAAACAGTATTTTAGTGATAAGGCAGGGAATGCGTTGCCTTATATAAACTATATAGTCATTGCGCATGACGGGATTGGCGGAATGAGATCACAGAATGTGGAGATGCAGTCCATGTTAAAAAATGACAAACCAAGTCGTACTTTAAAAATTCATAACTTTAAAACTACAACAGC